AATGTAACATTTACATTTCTCTTTTTAGGATTGATTATTCAAAGTCGTTTTTGTTAACCTTAGAACTATTTTAACTATGAGCCCAACCTGACCTCCGTCCTCAACATGATCCACTGGTACAACCCCCTCTCCCTCATGCCATTGGGTTGCTCTGGTCGACAGCGAGCTGACCAGAGGGGGCGCTGTTGATTGGTTTGTCACACAATGCAATCAGGTCGCAGGGAGCTGCCACCAACAAGTTCCAGAGGTATGACTGGGGTGTGACAACATGAAGCGCTATGGCCAGAGCACACCACCACCCAACCTCCTCTCCAACATGCTGGCCAACCTCCCAGGTAATTGTTACCACCCTGTCGCCCTCTTCACTGGTGGTACCCACCCAACCATGCATGCACAACACAGGCGCCACAAAGGATGGAGGGGACCCACCATCCACCAGTCAAACTGCATCCCTCCTTGGCAGACGCTGTGGACGTGGTCACACTTGAAGTGACGATCTGCTACACTCCAAAAGGCGCGCTTGTTCCCACATATGGAACAGAAGGGTTGAGCATACTTTTCCTTGTCTGTCATGATGTGTGTGAATGCAGGATCTGAAAACACCAGTGCCAACTTCTCCTTATGCTCACTTTGGGCCAATGACATGATGTAGGATGGGGGGCACGCTCCAACTCATCAACAGAATCCGTTTTGTCAATTATAGTTTGTGGACCATGTCATGTGAATCACAATACACATGCTCCAGATCTAATCCAGCCATCTCAGCCATCAGTGTGCATTGGTCACAAAGATCAATGTCCCCACATTGTCGCCAGGTATCACTCATGATCTCTTGCCAACATGCATTGCAATTGTAGATGGGTGCTTCTCCAATCCACTGGGATTCACAATGGCCCACTATCGCGCAAGGTTTCAATCCTACTTCGTGGCACACACCACAGGCATGCGTGTTGTGAGTGCATGTGTCGCACAACCAATTCATACCGAAATCATTGGCCCCCAGCGTGTATGTGTTGCGTCGACAATGGATGCACCCATCCATTAAAAACCAAACACAGGGCCAAACTGCACCCATTCTGCCAAACAACATGGATGGCGTGTTCAGCATTACAGTGCTCGCCAAGAAGGACTTCAAGGGTGCTCAGAAAATCATAGCCCAGCGCGGATGGGCGCCCGTGCACATTCGATCCAGTGGTGGCAAAACCAACCACACCATCAAGATCATGATGGACGCCAATGGCATCACATTCAAATCTGAGACAGGGATGCGCGTAGTCAGCGATTCATACCTCATCCAGTTGATCTCAGACAACTTGGCTTGGGATCACATCACACTTGTTTCAACGAACAATCCTCAGCTCATCACCCACATCACCTGCACCACATGCTGGACCACACCACACAAACTCCTGACGTGCTCACAGTGCATGGCGTGCCAGTACTGCAATGTCACATGCCAACAATCGCATTGGAAGACCCACAAGGCAGAATGCATTGCACCAATAAAACACAGCGGATAAAGCATTGGCCCCAAGCATCCATGTTGCACCACTTTACTCACACAACATGGCCGACAAATGGGATTGGGCCATCCTGGTCAATGTGGTGGCACACTGTGCCTACATGGATGAGATGACTGGTGCAGAGACTGTGAGCTACACCAATGTAGCATACATGCTGTCGCCATCCAACAAAGGCCTGGACATGTTGGAGATGGCACACAAAACCAAGTGGCGTTTTGTTGAGGATCAGTGCACAATCTGATTGTTTCAAAGCACTGACAAGTGCCATGAGTTTGTGCAGTATCACAACGACAATACTGAGTTCATCTTCATGCGGAGCAAGCTCAGATCTGAGTTTGTTTTCATGGGCACAGCCAGTGGGAGGGCCATGTGTGGCATGCACAGGTTCATGTGATGTGACACCATTGCAACCAGCGTGGGACTGAGCGAGGAAGTGTGTGCATGCCTCTACTGGAAGACGTGGGATGGCACCTATGACATCACAGATGCTGTGGTGTGGATGCAATTGCGCTATGTTCAGATTTGTGAAAAGAACGCCAACGACTTACTCCTTCTTCTTCTTGGTCACATGGCGCTTCTTGATGGGGATCTTGCTGAACTTGTGCTCGTAGATGACCTTCTCCTTGGTGTAGTGTGTGGCGTCCTTGCTGGCCAGCAGCTTGTACTTCTTCTTCTGTGTGTTGGTGACATTGACCCACTTGGCACCAAGCTTCTTGCCCACCTCACCGATGCCCCATGATGGATGCTTGGAGTGGAGGACAGCGCCACGCTCCTTGGCGAACTGCATGTAGGTGCTCATGGGGCGCTTGGGTGGGGCCTTGGTGTCAGCCACCTTCTTGTACTTGGTGGCCTCCTTGGCATAGTGGGCACGCTTGACCTTGGCCTTGGCCAGGAACAGCTTCTTCTCGGCATCAGTGGCCTTGTGCCAAAGCTCACTGATCTTGCTCACCACCTGCTTGCCAGAGAGGCAGGGGTGCGCCTTGACGACCTTGGTGCGCTTCTTCTGCGCAAAGAGCATGTAGGTGCTCATGGGGCGCTTGGGCGCATCGGGATCGTGGGGGGCTTTCTGCTTCTTGGCTGGGCAGGTCTCCTCCTTGGTCGCACACTTGTGTTTGTTGTTGCCAGCCATTGTGTGACTTATTGACAGGCGAAGCTGGATGATAATTGAGGGCCTTTGCATGTGTGGACAGCACATCAGCTTTTTTCAATCGACGTGGCGAACATGGTGTCCCACAGGTACATCTTGTGGAAGCAGGATCGCGTGGTGTTCATCGCAGCAGCGTCGTGGGCGTGATCGAGGTCGTTGTACTCGCGGTGCACCTGGTAGAGCGCAAACTTGTTGAGTATAGAATCTGGCAGCTCCTCACACATGCCCACCACACAATCAACATTCTGTTTGGCGAGCAGGCCCATCCACAACCATCCCAACGATCCCGAGCACTGAAACAGGGGCCAGTGGAAGATGTAGAGGGACGGCTGGTGATCGTTCGTGGCGATGAGGTCCAAGCAGTAGGCAGATGTAAGCCCGCACAACGTGATCGGGATCCGGCGCACCATGCCCTGGGGAGCCGCATCGCGGATCTTCCGCGGTCGATGAGGGCAATCCACGCCGCGGGTGTCCAGGATCCTGTGGTAATCATTGCCGGAGATGAGAGCGTGGGCTAACGCGTTGACATGATCGGCGAGTCGGCGCGGATCGCTGCACACGACGAACACAACACAGCCGACGTTTCGAGTTGGCACCGATTCTTGGATCGCACAAGGCCAGGATCGTTGGATCTCGGCAAAGGATCGCACCGGCGCCGTGGCGAGGAATCTGCGCTCCGCGGCCAAGTCAAACAAGCGGTGCGTGCGGCGCAAAACGACGTACTGCTTCAGATTCTCGTAGGTGTGTTGAAAGGTCGCGCGCATGTCTCCCACGATCGCGTGAAACAGTCGGCATACGCGTGATGTGCGTTCGAGCGACCGGACATCCAAGTGGGAGAACGTGGCAAACAACAGTTCGTTGGGCACATCCATGGCGTTTGTTGTTAAGTGTGTGCACACATGACGCGTGGCTGTGTGCACGCGGTTCCCTTTTATTCGGACATAAAAGAGGTATAGAGGTAGTTGAGAAGCGCCGGATACCAGTGCACCCCGCGCTTCTGGGGCGTTCCGGCGAGGAGCTTCATGGGCGCCAGGAAGACGTCGTGCACGAGGTAGTGCGGCGAGCTGACCTTGGCGTAATTGGACGCGAGCACGTCGTTGACCAGGATGGTACCGCTGTCCGTGAACGGCGCGTAGATGCCCCTCAGTTCGTGGTAGGTGATGCTCGTGATCTCCACCGCCACCGCCAGGCCGTTTTCGTTGAGCCAGACGCGATCACCAGGCTGAACCTGATCGGCAAAGACGGGCGTCTGGCCAGAGATGTCGGTGCCCGTTTCGTAGTCGACCAAAAAGATCAGGTGGTCCTTGGTGAGCGTGATGGCGGTCGCGTATCCGACGTGAAGGCGCACGAACGTGGTGAATCGGTCGGAGTCAATGTCAAGCCAGCCATGGAACTTCTCGTAGCGAATGCGGCCGTCGGATCCGAGCGAGGCAACAGAGTCGCCCACGTTGAGCATCGACATGGGGATCTTTTCGCCCGTTTCGAGCTCGACGGTGGATCCGCCCCAGAAGCACTGGTAGGCCGAATCGGCATCGCTCGAACATGTCCAGTGGATGCATGTGCCGTTGGCGACCTTGTGGCAGTCACACGAGGTGGACACCGAGTAGTCGTACATGTAGCCGCGCGCCAGCGAAGGCGAAACAATGGCGAGGACGAGTAGTAGCAGTAGCGCGGTGTGCGACATCAGGGGTACTTTGTATTATTGTGTGCAGAGGTTGTGGGTTTTGTTTCTTTCTTCCGTGTGCGGAGTTGCGCGTTTCGCAAACGTGAGGCGATTCGCTGCAGGGTACCACTGTGGCCCGCTGCGGCGCTTTGCGTGCACCGACATGTATACGGGGAGAATCGCCTATCATAGAACAGATGATTGAGAGAAACCTTATCCTTTAATCCTCGGCACTGCGCTGCAGCTTGTTCAGGACGTTTTTCGCGACGAACATGGAGTAGCGCCCGATGATGTGGCCCAGATACTGGCGCTGTTTCGGATCCAGCATGTGCTTGAGTATGTCGTCGGGTTCGAGCATGTGATTCAGGATGAACAGGTGGTAGAACAGGATCGACCACGCCGCGCACGTCCCGCTCGCATGATCGAGTAGTTGAGTGGGCACACCTTGCCGTCCTTGCGGACCAATACCGTAACTGTCCCCAGAGAGTGGATTGTCGGTGACGAAGGTGGTGGTGCGCCACTCCGATGGGGACATGCCGCCCTCAGTCATCAGCAACTGGTAGAGCGGCGGCAAGAGGCCCAGTGCGTAGGCGAAGCGTCGCGCCGTTTGTGCGTATGCACCGTTGGGTTCGAAGAGGTAGGTGTGACCGGTGCCGCGATTGATGAGCACGAACATGGCGTGTCTCGCGCCCTCGGCTAAATGGACGCCGACCGATATTGGGAGCCACGGCCGATCGTCGCCGCATCGTCCGATGCCGGATGAACGCATCCATCTCTCGGAAATCGGAACGCTCGATCCTCCCGCCTCCTTACGGTGCGTGATCTTGAAGTAGCCCGGCGGGGGCTTCAGCGCATGTATCTTGCCCCAGTGGTTGATGACGCGCTTTCTGAGCATCTCGACCGTTAGCCCGTTCGCCTCGGCGTTGGCCTCGTTCATGTCGGCGATCTGTTTGGTGGGCGACATGCGCGCGTTCCTGCTCACGCCGACGACGAGGGCCATGGGGCGTCCGCGATCGTCCACCGAACACAGATCGCGCACGCGTTCGTGGTTGGCGATCTCGGCGATGAAATCGGACCAGAAGTTGCCGTGGTGGCGCTTGTAGAGGCTTTTGTTTTGCGCGAGGAATTCGCGATCGGCCAGACTTCCGACGGGATGGGGGTAGAGCGCGTGGCTCACGCCGGCGAAGATGCCTAGCTGCTGATGCGTGAGCCGCGGTGCGCTGAGGAACGCTTCGATCTGCGGTTTGTTGAAGTTGGGGCACGGGATTTCGATCGTGGTCTCTGGGCCATGCTTCCCCACGCGCTCGGGCTGCGGAGATGCAACCGGAAGCGCAGCGGGTTGCGGCCGCGAAGTCCTTTTGGCCAGCCTTTTTTTGGCCGGCTGTGCGTAGAGCGCTCGGATGATGTCCGCCTTTCGCGCCTTGGCCGGAACGGCCACGCCCGCTTGCTTGGCTCGCGTTCGCAATTCTTTGACGGTCAGACCGGCGAGACCGTCGTCGGTTGTTGGCGTCTTTCGAGCGGCCGTGCGTTTTGCTATCTTCGCCACCGGAGCGAGCGCCGCGACGAGCTCCGCCTTGCGCATCCTGCTGTAGCCGGTGATGTGGGCTGAGGATGCCATCTTGCGCAGCTCGGTCACGGTTTTAGTGTTTAACGTTGTTGATGGTGCCATCGCGATTGAGCGTTTGGGCACATTGTTTTTTGTATGGGCGCGGCGTGCCCCGATGCAATCGACACGTTTCATTCGGCTGTGGATCAGTAAAGGAATACATGGTGACCGTGCCATGGAAAACGGGGAACGCCGCACAGGAGGTGCGGCGCGCAGACTATTCTCGATGCCGCCCGCCTGGATGCAGTAGTAGTGGTGGCGCTCATGGTTTGCCAAATGGTTCTCTTTGTTAAAAGTCGCGGTCGATATAGCTTATGGCGCCGTCAGCGAACCGGTAGCAGAACGATGAGGACATCGCTTTTCCCACCTCGCACCACACCCCGATCTTGGGGCGGAACGACAAGAGCTCTCGCCTCACATAGCCCGTTTCTCCAGCGTGCGTCTCGACGACGCATATACGCGACGGATGTCCCTTTAGCGGCCCGGACTTGAACCGCCTGCAGTTGGTAGGGGTAGCGATTAGTGCCGGAGCAGTGCGTACAACCGTCGCCGACCTTGATATCCAGCTCTCTCGGCGTCGACATCTGTGAGCGTGGGGCGTGATTAGCTTACATGAGCCCCGGCTTCCTCTTTTTATTTCTTTCCCTGTGTGAGACAAATGAAGTGTTACCATTGCCGACGGCGGATGCGCTGCAGGATCCCTTGGTTCTCCGGCGATGACGGCCTTCGCATGCGCCACTACTGCACACTGCATTGCTTCAAGATTGGTCACGGTGTGGGCGACGACCGATGCCTCAAGCGCAAGGGCCAGGGCGAAGAGATTGGATGGTTGGAAATGCATCTGGCGGCGACGGAAGAAGGATTTCTCCATTAAAAAATTCGGACGCCCTTGGCATCCACCCGTCGACCGCAACCGAATCCCACCAAAAAAGCATGGATAGCGTCAGCGTAGCGACGCGTGAGATCCTGGGAAATGGCCTGTTGCGCCGCGGTTGGGTTCGGCATGGTCGGGCGTACGGCGTCGAACGTATCGGATCACAGGGGGAGGACTGGCTGGTCCGTCTGGCGTTCTTCGACTTCGCCGGCGCTCGGGCACCCTTCCCCGACGATTTCGCGGAGCGGTGTCTGGCCGTCGAGCCTGGATTCTACGTGGTCGGCGACGAGCCCGAGGACACCCTGGCCGAGCTGAGCTGAGCGGCCCATGAGCGGCATAGCCTGGTGTACGGCGGCGATGGTAGCCTGGGCGGTGGCGAAATCCAGTTCCATGGCAAACAGTTGTATGATATAAGTAGTCACCGAGAAACAACAAAATTGCTGATGTCCGAACGGTGAGCCGCCGGAGATCCCCACCACCTGCTCGATACGATCTCATAAACACCAGAGACGAGAATGGCCAGTGACGGTTACATCATTAGTGGCACGCGCATCCAGCTCCCCGATGTTCCGGCGGGATTCATGCGGGCGGACTCTGCCGGCACCATCGTCAAGGCCGACACGGCCGCCTTTGTCGCGGAGATCGACAACCTGGCCGGACAGCCTAACGGCGTGGCCTCGCTCGATGAGAACGGGCAGGTGCCGCTGTCGCAGCTCGGCAACGCGCCCGGAGGCGGTGGCGGCGATTTCGTTCCACCCACCGACAAGGGCGTCATCATCACCGGCGACGGCAGCCACTCGGTCACGCTCGCGGCGGGCGCCAACAAGACCGCCCTCATCGCCGACCCTACCCGGTCCGAGGGCATCAAGTGGGCGGCCTACGACCACGTCGATCTGCTCAACAAGGGCACCAACACACACGCTCAGATCGATACCACCCTGGTTTGAGCTTTGGTCGCAGAGTCTGAGCGTCAGTGATGTTACGCAGGGCAACATAATGGCGCAGGTGTCGGCCGTCACCAGCGTCACCGCGACATCCGGCAACTGGCTGCTGTGGCTGGCCTACTCGTGCGATCTCGGCGGCGTCAGCGGAACGACCGCGCAGACGGTGTTGGCCAATCGCGTCGGCGGATCCTTCACCAGCGGATCGGCGGCGCTCACCACCGCCAACGGTGTCGCCTCGGTCAAGCTCATGGTGACGCAAACGACCGACACAACCTGGCACGCGACCATCTATGGCAACGCGGCGTCGAAGCTCGTCCCCCTTTAAGGGATCCGCAAAGGAGATCTCCAGTTTGGAATCAGTAAAACCCGTCCATTGATTGAGAGCTTTTCGTTCTTGTTTCACCACCAACCGACCAACACAACAATGGCGCCGCGGATCGTGATCCTGCTGATCGCAGCATCGCTGATGTGCTGCATCGCGTCCGACTTTGATCTCATCAAACTGCGCACTCTTTCGGATCTGCGCGGACCGTCCGACGGATCACTGCCGCCACCGCCGTCGGCCGATGGCACTTGGCGTGACATCGACTACCGGTCGGGATGCGCGATCGGGCGCGTCGAGTGGCCGGCGGTGCAACACCTCGATCGCACCCTCGCAATGGCGCGATCCTGTGGCGTGGCGAACGCAACGCTCGCGGCACTTGATTTTTGGTTCAAGCGCGACTATCGCGACGAAGGATGCACCGACACGGAATCGGATCGATGCTGCGACATGCCGGACGACACGCTGTGGAACTCCAACTGGTGGTGGAATCGGATCGGCGTGCCGATGCGGATAGGGCCGATCTGTCTTCTGCCTTGTAGGCGGCTGCGATCTTGGCCACATTGCCCGTCAGCAATCCGTCCCACACGGCCCCGCGCGCCATCCACAAAAGGTTGGCTCCCTTGGCCCCGGATCCCCTCCAGTCGGATCGTCGCAGGATCCGAGAGCAGTGCGCGACCCTGTCCGGGCCAAGCTGCCCGACATGCGCGCGATGACAGATTCTTGGGCGAGACGCGATGAGTTTGCCGCACTTCCCACACCACCGCTCGGCAACCGCGTCTACGCATCATCCGACTACGTCATCCACCGGCGACCAAACTACTTTGTTAGCGTCAAGGCGGCTTCGGAGCGCGTGGCGGTGTCCGAGTGCATCAACGGTGAGAACACGCTCGGCCATCGGCTCGGGGATGGCGTCATGTTTGTGAATCGGCCTGGTGCGTATGACGACGTGTTCCCGCTGTGGAACTGGAACGCGCTGCCCGGCATCACCGTCCCTGCGTCGGCGCGAGGCGACAACGGCGGATGCGCGACCGTGTCCGGCAAGGGCGACGACGATTTCGTGGGCGGTGCGTCGGATGGTCACTTTGGTGTGTTCGCGATGCGATCCGCCGACGGAATCCGAAAGGCCTGGTTCATGTTCGACGACGAGATCGTGGTCGCGATCGTGCCGACCTCGGATGGCGAGACCATGCGATCCGTGCTCGACTCGCGGGTGCTTCGCGGCGATGTGACCTCGAGCGCGTATGGCGATCGCGCGCCCATGGGAATCGGACGGACGCGATCCAGCCCTTGGTGGATCCGCCACGATTCGGTGACCTACATCGTCCCCGACAACGCGAGGGGTGCCAACACGCCCGTCGACGTTGTCACCACCGTGCCCCGCGATGGTCGGTGGTCTCGGATCTCGACAAGCGAGAAGACGGTGACCACAAAGGCCACGTTCACAGCTTGGTTCGAGCATCGTGGGCCATCGCACTACATCATCGTGCCACACACCGCCCAAGATCCGATCGCGACCATCGACGACGTTGTCGTGAGACAGAACTCGGATGCCGTGCAGTGCATCGTCAACAAACGCCTGGGCACGGTCGGCATCGTGTTCTGGGAGGCATGGGAGACGGCATCGTTTCCCGGATGGCGCGTGACCGCGAATCGGCCCTGCGTTGTGCTGGCTGTCATTGAGGACGCCGACCGGCACCTGCGGATCACGATCGCCGATCCCACCCACAAGCTCGATCGCGTGTCGGTGAGCGTGACCCGAGAATCGGATGGCGTGTCGGGCACGCTGGCCATCGACACGTCCGCCCACAACGGAGCATCGCACACCGTTCTCTGGGACGGATCGGCGTCGGATTCTGAGATGTCATCATCCGGCCGCCCACGACCGTTTCTTTTTCATTGAATAGACCAGTTGAGTCACACCAATGGCAGTCGCCCCTTGCACCCTTTTATACCGACTCTTGGCTCTCCCATTCACTCACAACAACACCACCATGTCGCTCAACACTGGCCTTGCCGTCTTCCTCCTCCTGGGTCTCTGCGCGATCGTCGATGCCACCGCCGTGTGCACGTACCGCAGGTGCTCGTGCGCCGACAAGACGTGCTCGTCCTTCACCGGTTGCACGACGTTCACCCAAGACGAGGGCGCATGCGGAGCGCTAAACCACGTGTGCGATTGCGCGAACATGAGGATCCTGGCCTACGCCAACACGGGCTGCACGGGCTCGCCCACCAACGTCTACACCTCTGGAAGCTGCTACAACAAGACCTTCTGCTATTACGTCGACTCTTGCACCGCATAAATAAAAAGCGCCCTTGCTCTTGGTCGCATTATGCAATCCAACCCCTCCGAGTAATGACAAAACCCGTCTCTGTTCGTCTGTGGCGTCACGCACTCTACGAAGCCTACGGCAACATACCTGGATCACGGAAGTTTGATGGCGACTGCGAACCGATTCATGACGTCGAGGTGCTGTTGAACGGCGCGATCCTGAAACTTCACCGATCGATACTGATTCACGCCACGCCATACTTTGCGGACGCGATCCTAGCATCTAAACCCAACGAGATGTTGCGAATCGACTGTAGCGACGGCTGCGACGACTCCCGGTACATCCAAGCGCTGATCGAGGCCGCCTACTGCGGATCCAAAGAGTTCGACGTTTTCCAGGCGTCCGAAATCGTCGGGTTAGCACGCGAATGCGCCAAGCATCGGACGTCGATGCCGGCCAGATTGGTGTGCGTGTATCCCGTATTCAGGCTTGACGCACGACCCACCGCTCCGGGCAGCGTTGGCACACGCCAACGACAATATGCAGCCAAGGACGATCCGAAGGAGATGCGGGCGCTCATCGATGTCATCAACGCATCGCTCTACATCCAGCTCATCGACACCATCGACTGGGAGTGGCGGCACGTGGGACCGTGGTTCTGTAAGGCCATTGACGGACTACGTCATCCTATTTGGAACTATCATTTCGAGTAATAAACACCGACATGGCCACAAGAATCACAGCCATACGCGAGAACTTGCGCAACGAGGAGAAGGAGATTCGAAAGGATCTGCCAAAGCTCCAGGGTAGGGTCAGGAAGATAAAGACGATGGCTCGACACACCCGCAATCTGCGACGCGCGCTGGGCTTCGTGGAACTGATGGTTCGCGACGATGGCAAGTACAAGTTCTATTTTATCGTACACGAAGAATCGGCCGCGATTGTGAGTGCGATCTCCCAGAATCGGATCGTGGACGGCATCTGCGAGCGCATTCAACACAATATAGATGCTGTGGCACCCACCCCGTTCAAAATCAAACTGTGGAGCGGTGGCGAGTCAGACGCATGGCACGTCGAACGCCCCAAAGACATGAAGATCTTGGGCGGCCTAAAGCACCGAATCGAACGTGGCAAATACGAAATCGCTGGCAACGACAGCCACACAAAAGCCAAAATCGATGTTTCCGCTCTGCTCGTGCGCATAAAAAGCCAAAAAGTTCGGCCATAAACACAACCCCACTTTCACCATTACTGGCACGCACTGCGATCCGCTTGAACTCTTGACCGGCAACAAGTACCTCGAAAACGACTTCGAAACCCGAGTCGCCAAGGAACTGCTGGATATCTGGCACCGATGTTCAATCGGCTGCGTGATCAGCGTCGGACCCAACGAATACGCCAGGGCCACCCAGCAGGGGTGGGTCGCGACGTTCAACGGGCGCCCGACGACCTGGCAGAGATTGCTCATCCACATCCGTTCGTCGCCGCACGACAGTGGCACTAAACGCCGATCCTTCGGCGTGCGAGGTGATGGCGCCTTGCTCGATCGCACCTTCACGATCGAATCGGTCAGCGAGTGGAAGGTCGACGATCCGAAACCATACATCGAGCACGCTCTGACGAATCGCAAGTACGCCAGGGCCTTCATCGGCGTCATCTCAAAGTGCGAGAGCTGGAATGCACAGATCCAAGAGATCATGCAAGCCGTCATCCGAGCCTACACCGACGGCCAAGACAGAATCAGGCACTGGTCCAACATCGGGCCGGGTAAGAGGCCGACCGATTTGCCGGACCGACATCGATGCCGCCACACTGCGCAAGGTCAATGCCGGGTTGGCCTGGATCGGCGCGATGCGCTCCGTCTGTTCACACGAGAGCACGAAGCTCAAGATCCGAGGCAAGGGCGAAGAACCGTTGGCGTGGGAAGACGTCGACGATCGCGTGATGGCCCAACGCATCCGCGCCAACGATTCGGTCATCATCTTCGAGGTCATCGGTTTGGCGAACTACGGCGTCAAGTGCTCCATCGAGATCACGAGTGCCGCCCAAGACATCCGCAACTTCATGTGCCGTGAGACGCTGTGGATGGACCCGAAAGGCATCGAGGCGTGGATGGGCTTGGTCCAGGCCATAATGACCCAGCCAGGTTGTGCAGAGCTGCATTGCGCGCTCGGCATGGTCAGGGACAAGATACTGAAGGGCGAAAGAAAGCTCCCCTCGCGCGACGAGGAGGAGGAGGAAGAAGAAGAGGAAGAGGACGCATATGGCTCAGATTACGAAGACCAAACATGGTGAACAAAAATATAAGCACATTGAGTTACTTTTGCCATGGATGGGTGGACGACGAAGCAGGTGTGTCGCCAGCTCTCGCGATGGGGCTCGAAGAATACGCGGAATCGGCGCGGCGGGCCAAGATCGATGGCCCAGCGATGATGGCATTGCACGAGGTCGACGCGCTGTGCTCGCAACTCGGCATCGTCAAGATGGGCCATCGCAAGCGACTCGCCATCGCCATCCGCCACCTCGACGACGACAAACGCGCGTTCAAACTGGCTATCCCTCCGCTGCAGCGCTCGCGCTCGTCGCCCGATGTGTCGGAACCGGATCGCAGGTCGGGCCGGCTCCCGCTGTCGTCGCGAACGTCGAGGGGCGGATCCGTCGTGGGTCGTCCGCGGAGCACCACCAAGGCCTACGCGAACATGTTCGGCGGCATCGCCGTCAAGTGCGTGTACGACGGCGACGTGAGCATCGTGCGGTTGGCATCGTTGCGTTTCGACGATCTGTTAGACGCGATCCGCAGGATGCACGGAAACGAGGATCCGAGCGTGCGCTACGTCGAAGAACTGGCATGGGCACACCTGGAGTCACACAACTACCAAACAAAGTCGGCCATACGATCGGTCAGGTCCAACCTCAAGCGCGGGCACACGCGAGTTCCGCGCATGTGGTTGCGCGTTCTGCGCGTGCTCGAGAACATGCCGCCGCGTACAGGGGTGGTCATCGAGGTGCCCGACCGGTGCTGCGGGGTGTGTGGCGTGAGCATGCCGCCCGGCGTCGTCGACAAGGCCGACCCGGCACTATGTTTCGGCTGTGCGTCGTCCATCAAACGCAAAGACGGTGCGCGACGCATTGAGATTGCCAACCTCCTCAATTGAAAATAAACAATGAACAACAACAATAATGTGGACGCCAAAGGCTGGGATTACGAACACAAGTTGGCATATCAGTACGAACGCGAGATAAAGGACTGCTACGAGAGGGCACTGGATGCGTTGCGCGAAGCCAGGGATCACTTTGCGTCAGCCAAGGTGCTCGGAGTGCGACCCGACTGCGGATTCGAGGACGGGGAGTGCATCGATAATCTCCAGCGATGCATCGAGTACGGTGCGATGCGCAGGTCGGACGATGACGTGGCGTTCCCGTTCGAGCACCAACGCCAAAAGCTCGCCGCTGCGCTGAGCTCCGGTAAAATAGACGAGGAGGAATTTAAATTCGCGCAGGATATATTGGTTCAGTTGCCCAAAACAGAATAAACGATGGAGATCGAGCAGGTCGACGACAGCGCAAAGGTGGCGCGCTTCGTGACCAAGCACATCACCAAGAGGGACTTTATCTCGCTCTTCCCCGAGTCCCATCTTAATGCTGCCAGAGACCGGGACGATCCCGACCAACCATACAGCCACATATACAAACGCTACCTTGGGTACAGATCGAGGTGCGGCATGCGAATCGACCCCGCGATTCCAGACATCGACGAGTGGACGTGGCCGCGGTTTGTCATGTGGTACAAGATGAGGACGGGTGAACGCGTGGACGAGAAGATCGTCGAGCATTGGGCGTTCCTGCGATGCATCTCGCGCGACATGGGGATGTCGATCTGTTTTGACATGCACGGCGACGACCGCACCAAAGCGGAGGCCATGTTCGACAGATTCGTGTCATCCGGTCGCGATTCAGCGATCTTCTGGTCAGAATGCGATCTCGACGACAAGGAAAGGCTTTTGGCCTGGTATGCAGAAAGGCAGCGGTGTTGGGCGGCCATGTGACTTGACATGGCCAACAACAAATATACGACAGGCTAGTTGTCTTCCATTTAACAAGCATGCCCAAAGTCACCCATGCATCCATGGTAAAGGACGCGCTCAAGGACCTCAACGAACCCACCGGCTCCGGGGTGATTGCGATCATCGAGCGCGTCGCAAAGCTCTACGAAGGCAAGCTGACGTCCACCTACGAGCGATTGATCATCAAGGCAATCAAGGATGGCGTCCTGGCCGGCACCCTGGTGCGCGAGGGCAGCCGCATCCGATTCCCGACCAAGGACGACGAAGATCGCGAACTGACTGTGGAGGAGGAGCTCATCATGATCGCGTGCCGCGAGGGCGACATGTACCCCGATCGTTTGGCAAAGGCGTTTGCCGACGACATGGACGACGAAGAGTATGAGGAGGCCCTGCAATCGCTCCTGGGCCGCGGGTACATCAAACTCGTGAGCGATGGCGCATATCGATGGACCGATCGGGCCGGCAAGATCTTTATCTATATGCCCGGCGATGTTCATGGCGCATCGTTTATTGAGAGGCTGCCGGCGTAAAGCAGTTGAAATCGATGAGCACGGCGTGACCATCGGGCTTCACGATGACATTACCGTCGTGCAGATCGCGGTGGACGAATCCGGTCTCGTGAAGGAGCGCGATTGCCGTCTCGACGTCGCCCATGATCCTGTCTGCGTTCGCGTGGGATCGGTTTTTGGCCACACAGCGAGGCATCGACGATGTCGCAGAGGGTTGTGCCGGGGATGTGTGACAGCACCGTGTAGATGAACCACCGACCATCGTGATCGACGAAACGGCCGTACGAGAGGAGCTCGGGGAAGAGGCCGTCCCGACCGTTCATGGCGCCCAGGATCCTGTGTTCCATGCTATACTCAGCCGCGGCGTCGCGTTCATACGGGACGTGTTCGCTCAACCTGACCCCGCAGATCTTCACCACCACCGTTTGGCCATCGGTCGTACGCGCCAGATGGGCGTGGCCCGAGGATCCATCGCCGAGCACGCGCACGAGCGTCACGTCACCCAACCCGCATCTCACGGGCAAAAGCTCGAGACTCGCCCACGTCGCGTCTCGAATGGCCGGTTGGTGCATGCCGTCGTCTACTTGGTATGAGGTGCCTTTTGCACGGCGACGCATCGGTTGAGCTCTTCGCTGTGTCCGTCAAAGATGGCGTCCGCGGCCCACACGTAATCGGCGGCGTCCGCATAATCGTCGCCCTCGCACAGTTTTCCAGCGTAAGCCACCGCGGCGGCCTCCTCGACAAACACCGCGAGCACGCGGATGTGCTGATCGCGATAGGCGAGAACGACAAACATCTATCCTTGCCCCAGCGCGCAAAGAGTTCGTGCAGTGGTTGTCTGTACACGATTTCGTAGATGCACCGCCAGGCCAGATCGCGATTCTTTCGCGATGTGGCCGCCCACGCTGCGATGGCCTCATCGCTGTCGGTGAACTTGAGGATCTTGGTCACGATGTGGTCGGGCAGGCTGTCCATGGCGTTGGTTGAAGGAAATAACAACGAACACGGAGTTTGCCTGGAGCGGTGTTTAATATTCCGCTGAAAAGCCCTTGACGCGCATGTACAACTTGGCGCGGGGCAAGTAGCCACGCGATTGGAGATTGAGGGCGCTAATGTGGGCACACAGTTTGGTTGGGGTGGGCTTGGGCTTGATGCCCGGAAGGTTGAGTCTTTGGCACGCGCCCTCTCCGGTCATGACGAAGAAACTGCAGTCGAGCATCGCCGAGGCAATGGCCCAGAGCATCCGTGGCGGCATCTCGTCTCGGTGGATGTCCGGGAACTCCAACCACACGCGAGGTTCGGGCCTCATCGAGTCGTCCCCGTGCTCGATGGCGACGAGGCACAGGTCGTCGCGGCGTCTCGGGTTCACCTCCTCGTGGATTCGTGCGATCAGCGATGACGACGAAACGCCGGCGGGATCGTATTCCAGCTCCCGCTCGGGACCGTGCGTTATGCTGTACAGGCACTCGTCGTTCTCGCGATCGACAAGCACCAACTGCATGTGGCGCGGCGCGAACGTGAAGGCGCTAAAGTGCGAACGCCTGGTCGCCAGCATCTCCACAATTGTGTGGGGGTTGAACGTGGACGACACGACCGTGAAGCGGTCATCGGCAGGCAGTCCGTCAATAAAGGCCTGGACGCTGCCTTCCTCGCCGTCGTAGCTGTCGAGCTCTTCCTGCCATTCGTAGATGTCGGGTGGTGCTCGGCAGAGGAGCGTCACCGTACCTCTGGCATCCTTGTGCGGGGTGTCGAACAGCGCGTTGACGAGGGAAATGCGTCGAGTGTAGGCGGCATCTCGCTTTCCATCGGCGTCCGCGACCCGCTTGGCCTTGGTCTCGGCGGTGATGAGAGGGCGCTTCTTCTCGGATTGCATGTTGGACTTGGCTTTGGTTGCCCGCCAATTTGGCGTGTTTTCTTGCCGTGTGAGTTCACTTGGACGGTGCACGCATAAAACGAACGACAACACATTCGTCTATCAGCCGATCGGCATGGAGGCGGTGCTCCACACACGATCCGCCACCACCACTATCATACCACCATTATTGCAACCACCCGCGACCCCAACGTGAGAACGCTGCTGTTGCTCAGCACCGCCGCCCACCGACCAACCTAAATTCGGTTCCGTGCTGGCATCGCTGTCGGACTTCCAGCATCACGAGAGCGTGATCGAACGGATGATCGGTCTGGACCTCGCGGAGGTGCACGCGATGTTGTACTCCACAGCGTTGGCGAGGGCGCACGATTTAGGGTACCCCATCTACGACACCGCCATCAAGGCACTCAAACGCCGCAGAAGCATGTGGTTCTACGAGTCGGGCGGGAAGATAAAGCGTTGGCTTTATAGCCAGCGTTGGTCACTAACTTCCAGAAGATGCAAGTGGCTAGGAAGACATATCTCTGTTGTCTGTTGTCATCATCACGGCAAGAGGACAATCTTGCCGGCATGCGCACCATGAAGGATCTCGTCGTGTGCTTTTGGTGCATCCACCAGGGCGAACTCCTTGGCGACGATGGGTCGCAGAGAACCGTTGGTCAAACCCGCTCCGATAAAGGCGCGCTGCTCGGCTACTTCATCTGGCGTCGAACGGTGCAAAGCAAAACCGATAACGGTAGCGTCCTTCATCATAAGAAGCCTGTTGTCCAAAGAGGGTTCCAATTAGTCAATCAATAGTAGAGATGCCATGGGGATGGGGTACATACCCTGGTGCCAACTTATCGACCTCTCCACGGCTGCCCACCACCACCACTGTACCTCCTACTCGGATGACATCGAGATCCTTCACCAAATTGACATCGGCCAGCACCTCGATGACGATGTCGACGCCAGCACCGTCCTTGGTGACCAGCTTAACGTGTCCGATGTAGTCGCTGTCTCTGTGGTTGAACACCTGATGGGCGCCTTGTTGGGTCACCAGGTCCCTGCCTTCCTTCGTGCTTGCCGTGCCGATGACCTGAAGGCCGAGGGCCACAGCGATTTGCACTGCTGCAATGCCCACACCGCCACTTGCTCCATGCACGAGAACCGTCTGCCCTGGTCTGGCCTTGGCCTTTTGTACCAGCGCTCTGGAAACAAGCATTGTGTCGTGAGCATCGATGCGAGGTATGGATGGGAGTATACGGCCTTACCTGTAGGCGGTCGAGTAGGCAGCGAAGACGCCTGCGCCTTGGCTGAAGGTCACGTTATCAGGCAAAGGATGGACTTGGTTCTGAGAGAGAGAGTTTTTTTTTTTTACGAGTGGTAAGCATCTGAACTTGTGCAGGATAGGCCTGGCGCCGGAAGAGTACCTCTTGTGCAAGAGCATGCGAGGCATAAGTGCCCGTTAGTGCACCGGCCAGATAGACCCTATCACCTTTCTAATGAACAACGTCGCAATATTGATGTAAGCGGTGATAGGCTGTCTCATCGATTCAATTCACGTCAATTGAGAGTTAAGCACCTTGAAGCGTGTGGAGGAGGGAGCGTCTACGACCACTCCGGCACCATCAAAACCGGGTGTGTGGGGTAGATTGACGGGGAAGTCCTTGGAACCGGCACGAATGTCAGCGTCCAAAGGGTTCACGCCGACGGCTTTGATTTCAACAAGCACCTGCGTATTCACGTATTAGAATGAACATCTCAACAAAGAGAGGGAGAACATACTTGGCCGGGGGCGGGAGTGGGGATGGCCAAATCGTGCTTGAGTTCTAGCACCGACGGGTCGCCAAACTTGGAGATCACTATAGCGTGCATGTTGAAGTTCTTCTTGTCTTTGTTAGCTTACGGCCAGGGTTTGTTGTGGTTGTGTGTCTTTTTTTTTCTTTTAAATTGCGCAGGCCGGCGATGATAGGCTATCGGCGACTGGCCACCGGGCCGCAACAACGGGCCGGTAACAAGGCCGCGCCCGTCGCAAACGCTAGGACTAATCTGCCGTTGCCCTTCTGAAAGCCAATTACGCAGATAACATTTCATAAAAGCGCCCCTATTGGTTATTCGGCCCGTGACTCGACTCCGTCGCCGCCTGACGTGATCGCCGATACTTTAATATGTCGGCGCGCTGCAGGAATAAAAAAGAGCAAACAGCCACACAGAATCATAACAACGCCCGCAAGAAGAAGAAGAAGTAGCAACAACAGCATGTCGTTCCCAAGAATTCTGGTAACCGGCGTAACGGGCTACATGTACAGGCTACTCTCCTACTCTCCTCCTTTGTTCCTTCTTCTTCTTCTTCCTGCTTACACATCTAATCGTGCCTTCTTTCGATTCTTCCATAGCGGAGGCTCAATCTTGGCGACACTCCAAAACAGCACTGACGTGGACATCAAGAACACCCAATTGTTCGGTCTTGTGCGCAGCGAGGCACAGGCAAACGTCCTTAAGAGCAAAGGTACACAGGCTGTGCTTTTTCCTGGACTGCACGACAGAGACTCCCTCCGAAAGATCGCTAGCGAGTATGACGGTATGCTCCACCTACCGTGTCCAACCCCGTCATGACGTTTGTTGAGTGACCCCTGTTCATGGATACACACAGTTATCATCGATTCAGCGGCTACTTTGGATCCGGAGGCCGCAAAAGCGCTGGTTCTTGGCTTAGCTGATCGCAAGAATGACACCGGCAAACAAACCTACTTCATTCATGTACGTACATGCCTCCATCATCATCATCATCATCACGGTGTTGGCTTACCAAGGGGCAATTGCAGACTTCCGGAACGTCCAACCTGAGCGATCGTCCCATCTCTGGTCAGTACCTCGAACCAGTGCCAAGAATCTTTTCGGACAAGGATGACATCTACAGCTACGAGAAGGAGAGAGAAGCGAAGGAGGAGTACGACCAACGAACGACAGACATGGCCATCATCGATACGGCGAACGAGGTCGGCGTACAGACATACATCATCGTCGCACCCACCATCTTCGGCACCGGCACTGGTCACTTCAACAAGTTTTCGATTCAAATCCCCGTCATCACCCGCCAGACGATCAAGTCCGGCCAGGCGGAGGTCATCGGCGAGGGAAAGGGCGAGTGGGACCACGTCCATATCGCGGACTTGGTTCTCCTCTACGAGTTGATCTTGGCGAAGGTCTTGAAAGGTGAGGACCTGCCTTGCCTCCAGCGAGGAATCTACTTTGCCGAGACAGGCCGGCACACTTGGCTCGAACTCTCCCAAGGCGTTGCAGCTGCAGGACTCGATCTGGGCGCTTTGAAGACCGACAAGGTGAAGAGCGTCACTCTGGAGGAAGCTGCACGCTGGTTCGGAGGTAGTGCTTCCTTTGCCGAACTTGCATTCGCTTCCAAGTACGTAACAACATGTTATCCTTTTTGATCTCAGCGTGCTGTTGGCCTCATTCACTCACTTTCGGTCTGACTCGGATCAGTTCTCGGACGAGGGGTGATCTAAGCAGAGAGATTGGTTGGAAGCCCTCCAAGACCGATGAAGATTGGCGATCGACCTTCCGTGCCGATTTCAGTGCGCTCCTCAAAGAACAGCAAGCGTAAGCATGTCTCTCTATGCGCTGTGCCGCGTTTCTCGTGCTCGAAGACCCGTAATAATGACCCTTTCCCTTCGCCTTGGGTGCACATACGCAAACACCAATACGCCCGAGAAGATAACATACTCGTCTTGAACGGAGCAGAGACGGCGGTTGCGTTGCCGAGTCCATGGCGGCCATCGCGAGGCCTGAGTTGGAACGGATGAGCGCCATCATTAAGCGTCGCGCTCATAGTGCGAACCGATGGTGGCATGCCGAATGGTCCTTTTTATTGGTCTTTGCTGTTGCTGCAGAAGAGAGGTGTTCACCCTCGCGAACGATCTTCGGCATCTCGAGCGAGGATAACAAGACAGAGATCGAACCAATTGGGGGGCGGTGCTGATCCCTCCTGAACAACTTCGGCGATCTCCGTTTAGTTGGCATACTGCGGAGAAAAGAGAAGAGAGAACGAGGTGAGTACACGAACACGGGTTGCAATGGGGAGGTGGGGAGACATACCAGCTTACCCATCATGCCCCTGGATGAAGTAATGGCAAGAAGGAGGAAGAAGAAAAACACCGGGTCAGTCCAATTCAAGGCATGGTGTGGTGCATTCGGGCGGGGGGTGACATACGAGACGACACGGTGCACGTTGTGGTTGGGCGCGTAGACGCGGATCTGGCCGTTGAAGGGGGTGGCGTGGGCCGCCGACTCGGCGTTGTAGGCGTTGGGGAAGATGAGGCGCAGGGTGACGTTGTCGATCCTCGAGAAGTTGCACGAGCCCGAGGGCTGCTTGTCCTCGGGGTAGAGGGCGAAGCTGTAGTTGTAGATGAAGCCCGAGGGCTTGCTGGTGTGCTTCTCGCGCGGGTGCACGGTGCGGTAATACTGGGCGGGGTGCTCGAGGGTGCGCGGGTGGCCGTTGAGCTGGAGCTCGGCCGAGGCGATGGGGTCGAACACGAGGCCGAGACCGGCGTCGTACTGGCCCGACCAGTTGAACCAGTCGTTACCACCGCCGCCGGCCAGGGCGCCGGGCCCGGTGTAGGGCGTGGGCGTGATGGCCGAGTCGCGTTGGACGACCCAGAGGAGCTCCTTCACGGGGTGGTTGAAGTTGAGGCGCACGTGCTGCGAGCTCACGCCGGCGGTGTGCGACTCGGAGCTCGAGTGCTGCACCTCGTCGACGAGGTACTCGTGCATCTGCTGGGCGAACATGCGCCTCTCCATGGCGTCGAGGAACACGTAGTTGAGCAGCAGGGTCATCTCGCACATGTCGCCGGGCTGGGCGAGCGTGGCGGGGTTGTTGGCCTCGCCGGAGCGCACGATGAGCTCCTCGGCGCGGCGCGTGCGCACGTTGATCTTGCCGTCGTGATACTGGAGCGCGATGAGCGGCAGGGCGTGCTCGGTGTGCCTGTTCCAGTCAAACTGCAGGGCACGTAGATGTGCTGGGTGCGCTTACCGTAGTCAATGAGCTGCTCGCGGGTGTCGGCCTGACCGACCTGGTCGCCGAGCTTCTTCTCTGCGTGGAGCGTGACCTGCTCGAGCATCTC